TTTGGATGTTAACGTTTCAGTGGAAAGTTAGAGGTCATAGAAAATAATAGCAGCGGACGATGGGATGTACATTATATTTGATTAGGTAATTTTGAAAAAGTTTGGTTTTTTTTTAAACGTGACCGTGCACGAAAAGAAGACTCAAAAATAAACTCAAAAATACTCAACCAAAAAAACTCAAAAATAAGTTCATGATACGAGAAGAGGAAGGGATTTTCCACAAGCATTTTTGGATAAAAAAACCAAACTTGATCAAACTAAACAAAAGTTAGAGCAGTCAGAAGTGTTTGGTTGAAAAAAACGTGGTTTCCGGGAAAGCTATTTAAAATTATAATCTGCCAAGTCCAAACAGGGCACGAAACCTGATTATGAAGCAACTTTACGCCCTTCACTGGGACGAATTCGAACTAAACCGCTCGGGACTTTTCCTAGCTATTGTCCCCTGCAATAAATAGAAAATTCCAGAGCACATAATAAAATCAGAGCGCATAGGGTCTATACGTTATACTGAGGAGAATCGAAGCTGATGGTGAATCGAGTTAGATTGCGACCACGATCTTAATTGCCCCTGCTGCCCAGACTGGACCTCGGCGCTCATTTCATCGAATTTGACTTGCATTTTCGATGCAGTGAAATTTGAAACGCGCTCATAAATCTGTCACGGCGACCCATAATCGACGAAATTTCCACGCCGCGCCGCGCGGTAGACGAATGCTGAACGATGCTTACGGCGAATGTCATCTTCTATGGTATGGGTGATGCCTCTTTAAAATGGTGCTTCTATACAGATATACGAGCATATCAAATCGTAAAGAGCTAGATGTTTTCGAACCGCAAAGTATACACAAAAATATGCATCCACTAAAAGTAAAAATACACAAAAAACATTGTGTTTTCACTAAAATACACTGATAGAGAGCCTTTTCAATTTCTGTTAGTATTTTGACGTGACAATTGCACAAAAATGTCTCCTGAGTCTAGTAATAGTTTAAGATTTTCTGAGAATATTTTACCTTCAATTTTTGAGAATTTTGCAGGGGCGAGGAATCAGCTATCGGCATTTTCCAATTTGAAGCAAAGGTAAAGAATCGATGGAGGTGTTCGTTGCGAACTGTCTGATAATAGACCCTCCTCTTACTTTAAAGTAGCAGATCATCCTTCACGTTTTGGACATGTTAGTCATGCAAATCAACCGATTAAATTATTATTATAAAATCATATTTTGCGGCCATAACTCGACAACCCAGCGAAATCGCTAGATCTCTGAAGGAAGGGTACTGATAGATTCTGCACATGATGCATGCGGCATTGAACCCAGTTTCAAGTTGTAAAGGGGGGGGGAGGATCCCCAAGGGAGCTCGATCAGACCCCCTGCCCTCAAGGATACCGCGCCAGCAAAGTAGGTAATCTATAATAAATTAGAGCAAAAACAGCGTGGCTCTGAGCTCCTGCAATTTAGCACACTGCAACCGAGGTACTCTTGTTGGTTCATATCTTCGCGATGCCCGTTATTGTTTTTCATTGTCGCAAAGGCAACATACCCACGCCGCCGTGACGTTCCGCACAGTGAACGAATTCGTCCAAGAGCCGTACATTGTGAAATTGACCCCACGACGTAGAGTACCTATATTGAGAGAGTATGGCCACTGGTGTTACCACCTCTGATTGGCTCAGCCATCTTAGGCTGAATGGAGCCCTTAGGACCCAAAAATGGCGGACGCCATAAATTAATGTAATGCAAAATGACTCAAAATGTAGTTTTCTTTGCTTATCGTAACGAGAAATTTACCCAAATGCACTATTGCGTCTTCTTTACACATTTTTAAGACTAATCATGTGCAATTTTTGAGAAAAATGATCTTAGGTGCAGTAAGGTTGGCAGCAAGTGCGGTTGGTGATAACCGTCAAAAGTTGGCAATGACCCCCCTCCCATCCACAAAAACCAAAACAAAGCACCGCCATATTTGGGACCTAAGCCTCTCCATGGGGTCCAGTGGCCATACTCTCTCAATATAGGTACTCTACCACGACGAAGTGAGAAATTGAGCAGCACAAAAATCAAGATCAACAGCGCGGAATCAACTCACATCAAGATCAGACCGAGATTCAGAAGTTTGAAGTTTTATTCCTCCATAAGACTTAGGGGCCGTCTACAGATCGTATTCGATACATCAAGCAGGTGAGATTGTATCGATATCGATTGGTTCAAAACATAAACATAGCCTCAAAAGTCAATTTAGAAATCGAAGGGAACGGGTTTTTGTAACAGATGTTTTATTTTTTTGAGTACCAAATGCCAATGCAAAGTGAAATTGTTAAAAATTTTCTCAATTTCAGCTTTTCCAACTTAAATCCTAATAGTTTGGTTTGAGGTTATGTTCTATTGTTTTGAACCAAACGATACATCGAACCATTATCGAATACGGTCTATAAAATTACGTAACGCGCCAGGGGTAGGGGGGTCGAGGAGAGCGTTACGTCATTTTTTTTTCGTGAAAAAGGACCTACGTCACATAATTGTTACGAGGGGTAGGAGGGGGAGGTCAAAAATGCCGAAAAAGTGCGTGACGGCCCCTTCAATGAATGTCGGCGTTGAAATTCAGCGCCGCGGCGTTGATATTCAAAACAATCTCTCTCAACTCTGAATTTTTGTCACGGAGAAGAATGTGAACACTTAATCTTGAAACTGCTGTCATTTTTCAAAAAATTTTGTCAAGTAACTTTTCAAAATTTTTCGGTGATCGAATGTAAACTTTGATTTTGTGAAGTGAATTTTCATATTTTATTTCCAATACTTTCAACAAATCATCGGAAGGCATCAAAACTCACAGATTTTGAAGCTCCTACTTCTCTATACTTCCTTCAAAAATATAGATACGTTCTTTGAAATGTTCATTCTTTTCAGATCGCTCTATCTCTTGATATTTCACGTATGAGATGGATTTTTTGGCAAGTTTTTTGAACATTTGTTATGTATTTGAGCAATTTCTCCTTCGCGACAAGACAATGAATTCGTCTTAATTGTAGTTTTTTTGCATTGCTCCGCAAGGCGCTGGCTAGGGACAGAGGAAATTTTCGACTCGGCGGGATTTCGACATAACCGTAGTTCGACTCAGCAAGATCTCACAGATGTAGTTATCATTACTATTACTTTCGATACGACGAAATAATGTGATTTTCCCCCGCCCCGAGAACAAAGGTTGCCCTCCTCGCGAGGACGGGTGCGTCTGGAAAATGTAAGCGTCGGAGCCTTTGGTGCGGCAGAGCTCTCGCCCTCCGGGGAAAAAAGAGGTATCAATTACTTTTATTATACTTCCCTCTCCACTTCTCGAACGGTATAATTCGCCCCCGGCCCAGCCTCAGCGCACCGATGTGCCACTCTCGACTGTACCTCAACTTGCATTCTCGCCCCCTCCCCCACCCCGGAATACCTTCGGCTCTCATCTAATTATTTCCTTCCGTGCCCCCCCCCCCCCCCCCCCCNCGCGAGCGATTCTTCGGGGGGAACGAACAGGCGTGCACTCGGATTAGTTCGCGCTTACGAGTTATTTTATTCGCTGCCCCGTAAAAAATGCCAGAAATGCGCGGGACGAGGAGTGTATGAAAATTAGGGTGGATATATATATCTATCGTGAGGGCGCGGTGTGATGCACCGGTGAGATTCGTCGGGCGCGCGGTTTCGAATTAGTGTCACGTAATGGTCTATCAGCAACTTTTAATGAATTTCAAGTTGGCGCGGGCAATTATGAGATATCAAAGGATTAACACGGGTGCTTAAGGTCTCGTTTTCTCCTGCCCCGAGTTCTGGGATTATTAAAATGTAGGCGTTCAGCTTTGATTTGCATTTGGTTATATTACGCCGCGGAGGATCGCTAAGCCGACCGGTTATCGCTCTAATGAATTTCATTCTCTACCGCACCAGAAAAAGTTATTGTTTTACAAGACTCGTTATTTGGCAACACTGCAAGTTATTGTTGCATATTCATATCCGACTGACGGCGTTGAAAGTTATTGGTTTGAGAATTTTAGTCAAACATGATTACAACGTTCCCCAGGTGCCTTCTCATGAAAGGCTTTGAAGTTTTAATTAGAAGAAATTGTGAGTGTATTCTACAATTTTTTTGTTGAAATTACAGTGGCCCTCGCCGACTAAACTTTTGATTTTGGAAAGGACTGCAAAATTATGCAGTGCAGGCAATAGAATGGGTCAGTTGCGCTGGTCACAGAATTGAGTTTTGATACTTGAGTCTTGTAGATTAGCTGAAAATAATAATATCCGTCCAGAGAGCAACTTTCTACGTTCAATATTAAGATATCGCCCTTTGAAAAGTCGGTCTTTTGACGTCACCCACCGCGGTAGTGACACCCTTGGTTTCTTCTACCTTGCATTATTCATCCGAGTTACACGTTGAATAACCAGTGCAAATGTGCGTCACACTGACTAATGAAAGCAAGGTGGAAGAAACCAAGGGTGCGTCACTACCGCGGTGGATGACGTCAAAAACCCGGCTTTTTAAAGGACGATATCTCGGTTAACGATGAACGTAGAAAGTTGCAGTTTGAACAATTCTTACTATTTTTAGTTGATATACAAGAATCAAGTGCCGCAACACGATTCTGTGACCAGCGCAACTGACCCATTCGGGAAAAATTGATGAGACGTTTGGTAAAAGTGATAGAACATGTCGTGCTGTCAACCAAGTTTTTACAGAATTTTCGAATTTTTAGTTAAAATGTTTATTGAATAACGAAAATTACAGTCCAATGCGCTAGCCACGCGCAAGTCGCAATTTCTGAGTGTCATGGAGAAAAAAAAATACAGAAGGACATATTCTTCATCCTCAGATGTCTCAGCGTAACCTACAGTTTCGGTCGATTTAACCAAAAATTCCGGTTCTTCTGGTTGATCTGACCGAAATAAGTGACTCAAAGTAACCATGAACACGGAAATGTTGAACTGGGTGGCACACATGCAGAAAACTTAACTGAGAGATACCCACCAAAAACGTCGATGCATCCGACTTGCTTCTTCATGATGCTAGTGTTGACCTGGCACATGTAGCAGCCCCTGTCGGTCTCCTTGATCTGCCGAATATGGAGGTTCCACGACTCGTTGAGAGCGTCGTGGGACACGGAGAAGCGGGCACTGTGGGTCACAACACGTGTGTGCAGCGCCAAGATGGTCTGGTCCTCCGCGCGAATCCAACCCACCTGCCGACCGAAAACATAATATGATTAAAACAAGCGGATATCAAGTCTGCTAAAGCATAAATCGTAAGTCAAAATGTGAAGGGTCGATTCATTCCATGAGAAGTTAATAGCGATCAAGAGGAAAAAAACACCAAGAATCGAGGCCCGAACTGCATGGAATAACGAGGTGGTGAAATGGTGCTGGGTCCACACTATTTTGCGTGGAAAACCAGACCAAAAAGTTTAAAAAACTCAGTTAGAGTCAAAATTTTGAGCTCTAATGAATACGAGAACAAAATTAAAGGGGGTGAGTGTTCGTGCTTAGGCAGATGCATCGTAATATTACGCTGAGGTCACGCCGAGAGATCCACAACTTTTTGGGTCCTTTCAGACCTCATCAGTGAATCACACACTTTTGCGAGATGCTAATATAGGCTCACGGACGAGTGTGATCTACCGATGAGGTCTAAAAAGACCCAAAACGTTATAAATTTCTCGGCGTAAACTCAGCAATATTCCAATGCATCTGCCTCAGCTAAACTCTCTCTTCTCTGTTTTGTGCCGGTACTCATTGCAGCTCAAAATATTGACTCTGATTGAGATTCATTAACCTTATGGCCTTATTTTCCCCACAAAATAGTGTGGACCCAGCACCGTTTTACTTCCTTGTTAATTGCAATGATACCACTACAGCTGCAAAAAAGCGCTCTAAATAATTTGTAGCTATACAACAGCATTTCTCCCCTCCAAAGGTGTTATATCGAAAGATATCCTCATTTTTAACAATTCTGTCAAAGGTTTTTTCTTTTTTCATTTGCCTGTTTTTTCTCCCCTCGATCATAACACCCAGACCAAATTCATTTAAAGATTGGAAACGAAATTTCGATCAAATCAAGGTTTCGGAGTTTCGCCGGGTTCGATTGGGTCGCAAAGTTCCAGCCGGAAGGTACAAGTCCACAACTCTTTCCGACATAACTGCTTTAAGCAGCTTATTTACGGTCGCCTCCACGTGGCTCGCTGCTTTCTTACCGTATCTTGTACGTTTTACGATAGCAAACTCCCGCCGACACGGGAAACCTGACATTATGGTCAGACGCTACATCAGGGGCTAAAAATCCACCCTCGCGTCCGGAAGAACCGCAAATCCACACGGGATTTCCACCGGGGATAGGTGGTTTTCATTTTACGCGGGGGGGGGGGGGG